GTTCTGATGAAATATACACACACACACACACACAGACAGACACACACACACACACACAGGCAGACACACACACACACACACAGGCAAACACACGTGTGCACACTTAACAGAGCGTACATGCAAGGGATCTGTTAATTAATCTTTTAAAAGAAGTCACGTTGTAAGAACCAGACTCGTTTCAGATGAAGTGCCACTTTCTCTCATCTCTCCCTAAGGCAGCCAAAAGGCCTTTAAGTGTGAGAGTGGGGTTCTTGTAGCCAAATGTCTGTTTTAACGTTGATTATTCAAGATTTTTGACTGTTGAAAATGCTTTTTGTGTTTTCACATCTGTACTGACACTCTCGTCCAAACGCATGCACAACAACGCGCACTCACTCTTTTATTTATTACATTTTGCCTTAATAATTGTAGCAACTTTTCATTGTGTCAGCTGCTCGACTGGAAGCAGTTGCACATTAATCATGTTGGCTAGGCCGGTACCACCCGTAAGCAGAGCTGGCACTGACAGCAGGAAGCTGCCCCAAGGCCACGCCGGAGACTTTGTTGTGGCCCACTCTGACCTTATCATGCTGGCTTACAGCCTGAAAGGGAGAAAAAGTGTAGGAAAAGGGGAGAAGTGGTGCTCGCTTAGAAGAAATTAAAAAAAAGTCAGATTCTGACAAAGGTGACAGGGGAGGAAGAAGGAAGGAAAGAAGTTGGTAATGTTCCCCCTCTCCTCCCTGGTTCCATAACTAATCAGCGCAGCTCCCTCTTAAAAGCATCCCACAGACTACATATTCATAGAAAAATGCCACATCTATAATACGTACTAGTATATACCCAGCCCTCCTGTGTCATATTCACATATTACTCAGATAGACATGCAAAAGGGTTGCCTGCTGTGATTTCCATGACAACCACGGTCTCGAGCCACAGTTTGAATTGAACTGAAAGCACTAGTATGTTTCTGTAATGCTTCCTTTTCAGCTTCTGTGTGTTTGCTGTTCTGACAAAGATATTTGGATGACACTGTTTTCAGTGATCAAAGCACAGTCTGTCTCACACACACACACACACACACAGTCTTTGTTTGTCCTTCAAGCTCGAGCCCTGGGAGCGCTTTTGTGGTTGGTATTTCTCGAGCTACTCTTGTTCCTTCTTCTTCTTGCTATAACTTGGTATTGCTCTATCCGTATTTTTCACAGTAGAACATAAAAAAATTGTATCTACCTCTGCTTTACAAAAAGGCTGTAAATGGCTGGAAACTAAGGAGACCAGTTTCAGGACTTTTTTAAAACAATGCTGCCCAATTCTTGGCTGATATAGATTTCTAGCTCCTCAACAGTCCTGGGTCGTCTTCTCAAATTTATCATTTCATGCTGCTCCAAATGTTTTCAGTTGGTGGAAGGTTTAGAGTGCAGGCAGGCCATTTCGTCACCGTTCTTTTTGAGCACTGATGATGCCTTTCAGATGTGTAAGCTGCCACCTCTATAGGTACTAATGCACTCACACACCATCAGAAATGCAGGCTTTTAAACTAAGCAATGATACGAATCCAGATGTTCCCCCTCTACTTTAGTCTGGAGGACACAGGATCCATGTTTTCCTAAAAGAATTTCAGAATTCCACATTTCCTAAGTGGCTTTTCATGAGTTTTGGCCCAGAACAACTGTGCCATTTCTCGATCATGTATGGATAGTAGAACAATAAACATTAAAAAAATCAATTAAAAATATATCAAAATGTATGTTAATGAGGTTTTGGAGCAAAGATGATAAAGTCATGGATACGAATGATAATGAAAGGTTATTGTTGGTCTGCTGTTACGCATTATAATTGTATTGTGGATCATCAGTCCTGTCAAACTGACTGCTAACCTTTTGGTGGAAGGGACAAGCTGAAAGAAACTTAATTTCAGTCATTAATACCAGCTCACAATGCAATTCCTTTGGTTGTAGACAGCTTCCAGGCTTTCAGCATGAAGACTCTAAATCAGAGAGCCAGGCTTTGCCTGAAGGTAAAATGAATAAACAAAACCACAGATTAAACAAATGAGATATAATATGCTAATCAGCGAGCTTTAGAAGATACTAGAAGCGGGATTTTGTTGAATTTAGTCAAATTGATTAACCGCTTCTCGCTCTGAAAGTAGATGTTTACAAAGACATGAATCGCACATTATTTTGGCATGTTGGAAGTTTTTTAAGTTATAAACTGCAAAATTTTAGTTACTGTTCTAAATTGTGCTAATAGGTCAGAGCTTGTCCAGTATATACTATATGCGGACAGTAGTTACTTAAAGACCATACAGTCAAAGGGACTTGTTGAAGGCAGCTGTCCACTGGTTGCCTTAAGAACTATACTTTTTTAGTGCCTTTCAGGCAACCAGTAGAAACACTGATATGATGTATTAGCCAACTAAGAGCTAGGCAGCAAGCATAACCAGCTGGAGGATATCGGTGATCATGATAACAACAGAATTGCAGGGGCGATGTGTGGTTGAAAGTACATGTTTTTTGCTCTTTTAAAGTATAGTAAATAACATTGCAAGTATCTAGTTTCCTGATATACGTTTTAAGAGTGCAAGGTGCCATTAACCTTAGACAGAGGCTTTCTCTGGCAAGCTGCTCCTGAATCAGCTAATGCATCTAAAACTTTGGAATAGGATAGAATATAATAGCTGTATCATCATACATGTGCAACAAAATTGTGGATTTTGTACTTGCATTACAAGCACATGCCAATTCAGATGCCACTTTGTTGTAGGTTTATTTTTCTTTTCGTTAGGCTTAATGAGTTAGGAGCAAAAGCTTTTACTGTTTCTCTGTTTTTAGTTGAGTTCAGCTAATGTTAGGACTTTAACATTTTCTGTAATGTGTCCTACAGTTTTCCTGGATTCATATGGAGTCATTACAAATGTAGGTTTTATAATAACCTTTCATTTGAAGTAGATTTTTTTTTTTTACAGGCTGGATCAAAACAGCCTGAAATTTAGTGTAGTGATTGCTCATTGATTTGAATTCTGCCAAGACACACGGGCAGTTTATCAATTGTTAGTATAAAATTGTATAAAAGTGTTTTTGACACTCTCTGCCTGTGTATTTATGGTGTGTGTGTGTGTGTGTAATCTATATGTAATATTGCCACTATTCCCCAAGAATAGCTTCTTGACAGCCACCCTTCCACTGAGTCCATTTCTGATGAGGCGTCAGTGAACAGTAGACATCTTTCTTTCCTCACATATCCTAACTTGATTTACAGAGTACAGTGCCTGTAATATTTTTGTCTTCAGCTGGTTACGTTGTCGTTTTTACGTCACACAGCCACACAGGCGCCCATGCATTCCGGTGTGCCAACTCATGATAGAGGCAGACGTGTGCTATTATGATGGATGCTGTTGTGTTCGGTGGTGACCAGACTGGGTCAAGTTGGGCTGTGTCAGTGGAAAGGCCAGTGCATGATTCACAGCCGCTGCTTCATAAAGACCCACAGATGATATATCAGAAAGAGGGGAGAGAAAGGAGAGAGGGATAATGATGGATAAAAGATATGAAAAGAGAAAGGAGTGAAAGTTTCAGATCATGTTGAATGAGAAAAAGGCAACAGCGTTTCGCTTAGCTTCCCGACACATCCTCCTTAGCATTCCAACATACTATGTAGCCAGAAGACGTCTAAAAAGGAAGATATTAATGTGCCCAATTGTAATGCTGACATTTAGGCAGTGCAGGGTGGGG